GAGCAAATCAAATTGTGGCACTATCTCATAAAGGAGTTTCTTAGCTATGATGACAGCTGATTCTTTTCTAGTTGTGAATTCCTCAGTTCACCTGGTGAATGTGTCTATGAGAACTAAGAAATATTTGTTCCTCCCTCTTCCTGGGCCCATTTCAGTAAAGTCTTTTTCCCACTGGTCTCTAGGGATAAGTACTCTTTGTTTCATTTGAGTATCTTTTGGAAGCCAGCATTGCGGGCCTTTTGGCTAACCTCTTTAGCCAGGCAATATAATTTGGGGATGAAGTATAGAATAACTTGGATAATTAGGTTCATCCTAAGTGAGAAGCCTGATGAATTAAGGGCCTAACAACTCTGGGATGAGAATTTACCCACCCGGTGAGGTCTGCCAGCCTTCCGGACAGAGTTGGGCTTCTAAGATCTTGGCTAGTCTCAAGTCTGAATCTGAATAAGATGGCTTGGGTAGCACAGGTGGCAGGAGAGCTGAGAGGAGCATTATAGGTCTCACTGGTTTTAGTGCTATGTCTTTGCTTATCTTATTGGTGAGGTATTTCCTTCAGCTATTGTGGTGTCTTCTCTTGATGTCCTAAACAGTGCGCAATGGCAAACTTTTGTGGCATCCACATGGCAGCCATGAGGTCTTAGATCTCAGTAACATTCTTGATCTTTTTTTGTGCTGAGGTTAACAGTCCTATTTCCCGATAAATGTCCCCATGAACATGTATGGTAGCAAAAGCATACCAATAACCTGTATAATAATTTGTAGATTTATTTTATCAATGTTTTCAGGCTTGAGTAAGTCTATTGGTTCTGCCTGCTGAGCTGAAGTTTCCAACCCTCCAGTTTGGGACCACATTACCTCAGTTTCAGTGGTCAGCAGCACAGGTCTTGCCACTTGACTTCCTTGGTGGAGGTAATTGCTACCATCTGTGGAAAGGGTGACTTCAGGCTGGGCAAGCAGACATCTGTCAGGTCAGCTCGCAGGCTTGAGACTGAGTCAATAATGTCCACACTATTACGTGTCAGCATGGAGTGATCATTGTCAGGCAGGAGAGTCACTAAATTGAGGGCAGAAGTAGACAGGAACTCGATGCAGTCAGGATCCAGTAAAAGGGCTTGATATTGGACTGAGTTTTGGAAAGCCATCTTCCAGTGACCTAGGTACTGGGTTAAGACCCCTTTTGTGATCCCAAGACTGTCAGTGACATCCACAAGGGAAGATTTGGCTAAGTCAGAGAGAGCAAGGGCTTGGGCATTCAGGAGATCCCATTTTAATTTATTGAAAGCTTTTTCCTCTAGCTTAGTCCAGGTTAAAGTCCAGGTGGATCCCCTCCAGTAGCGGTGTAGAGTGTGATCCAGTCTAGCAAAACCCCAGATACACATCCATCAGTAAACCAAGGCACCTAGAAATTCTTTAATTTGATGCTTGGTCTTTGCGGAAGGGAATTTGAAGACAGCTTCAGTCCATTTGTCTGACAGTTCATTTTTCTCCTTCTAATACATACCCCGGATAAATGATTCTGGACAGGAAGAGCTGTGCCTTTTCAGTAAGGACTCAATAATGCAGTTCATCTCAGTCTTTCAAGACTGGCTCTGTGGATCCAGACAAAAGGACAAGCATGCAGGGGCCAGTAGTAAATCATCAACTTATGGAAGAACTGTGATGGATGTGTGTTCTTCCTTAAAACATTGGAGGTCCCTGCTCAGGGCTTCACTGAATAGAGTTGGTGCAAATTTGCACCCCTGGGGTAAACATGACCAGGTCCATTGTCCTGATTCTCCAATCTTAATGTCTGTGCATTCAAAGGCAAAGAGGTTTTGCCTCACCAGAATCATTGGTAGGGAGAAGAAGGCATCCTTCCTGTGCAATGCAGAGTAATAAGTATGCATAGGAGGCAGCAAACAGAGCAAAGTATATGGATTAGGGACAGTGGGGTGCAGAGTCATGAATTTTATTTACCTCTTGGAGGTTTTGGACAGGCCTATCATTGGAAGTCTGAGGCTTCTGGATGGGTAGCAAAGGCATGTCCCAGAATGACTTACAACTTATCAGGATATTGGTCTCCTTCAGCTTTTGGTTTTGAATGGAAAATTCTTCCTTGGCCTGCAGGCTGAGTGAATATTGGGGGAGAACTATTGAGGTGTTCCCAGGATTAAGGGTGACTACAGTCAGAGTTTGGTTGATTATGAGAACCAGTGGGTTGCATTCTGCCCAGACCCTTGGGAGCTCCTTTTCCAAGTTTTGTAGCAACAAATTTGGAGGAGTGTTTACCAGAAGAGAGTCCATCAGGACAAAAATCATCCTTCTACCAGGGGGAAAATAAACAGTATAGCAGGAAGAGGAGAGATAGTCATCTCTGAGCTCACTTCTTTTTGATTTATGCTTTTTCCATTAAACTCAAGAGTCAATGAAATGTCCCTCATAAGTGATTTGAGTCTTCAACTTGCAGGGCAAGTCTTGTCTGATCAGGGAGTAAGGACATTCTGGCATAACAAGAAAAACATGGGTTAGAAACCCTCTGATCAAGTCCATAATACTGGTACGAGTCTATGGGTAAGCCTTTATTTTTCCAGTTGCTCCTTAAATGCTTGTACTGGTCTAGGACAGGGAACACACAGGCTGTTGCAGGACTGAATAACTTGTTCAGTGTCAAACAAGAAGATGATCATTTGTCCCCCGCAGTGAAACTTAAGAAGGGTTCTTGGGGTCCAAACAAACACTGATTGTCTCAGTCTTGAATAGAGACTTTTGTAGTGGTGGTGGTCTTTTTCTGCAGCTCTGGACAGTGCTTTACCCAGTGGCCCTCTTTCTTATGAAAGGCACACTGGTTTTTGGCTAGTGGAGCCCTTTTAGACTTAGGATGCTTCCCCTGCTCACATTGAGTCTTGTGATTTTCCTTTTCTCCTAGGGCAGGAAGGACTTGTGCTGCCATTGTTTTCTTTAAGTTCCATGAATCTTCTCAATTGTTAAAGGCATTTGGTCTTATCTCCACTATCTCTGAGAGTGACTAACATTCTAAATCATTCTGGACTTTGAAGATTTTTTCTAATATCTGGGGCCAAGTGGGAGACAAATGTGATATTTAGGGTGTATTTATATCTATGTGCCTCTGGATCAATAGGTGTATAAATACAATACGTCCCTAGGATGCTCTCCAAGAACACAGATGAAGCCTCCTAGGATCCCTATCTTACCTCTGGAAACCTTGACAAATTAATTGGCTTCTGAGCAGCTCCTTTTAAAGGACCAGGAAAGTCTGGCAATGCCATGCAAGAGCTCCCTTACTTTGTTCATTGTTAGGTTGCCAAAAGGGGTGAGTGAGGAGAAACATGAGGTCCAATCAAGCTGAGTGGAAATTAGAGTGGCCATCTCGTCCTGGGACCAGGTTGCATTCCAGGTTGCAGACGCATTTTCATTCCGCAGAAGTGAAAATAATCTGGAATAGATGTTGGCAATTGTGTCAAGCGGGCTGATGCATCAAAAGGCGCAATGAGGGAGATGAGTCCTTGCTGGTTTTGAGAGAATAAGAAATTTTTAGTGTTTCCAGCTCTGAAGATCACTGGTGGAGAAGGAGACACAGAAAAGGTCTGCAGAACCCTCCCCAGAGACAGCCTCACATAGCAGAAATAGAGGAGCCAGGTGTTCAGAAGTGGAGTCTGGAGAAGAGGGTCCTAGGGTGGAAACCCTAGAAAAGGGGTGCCACTATGGATCTGTGATGGACTCAGTAGGTAAGGGGAGTTGAATTCTGCAAAGGCAGAATGGTAAGGAGAGTGTGCAGAGCAGAAAGAGATTGGGGTGAGGAGTTGGGAGAAGGGGGAATAACTTTGGAAAATTTGGAAAAGGCATGTATTGTGACTGCAACCTTAGCATGGTGTTTGTGATGGTAGGAGGGGACCCACTTGGGATGTCCAGAACCAAGTCAATCCAGGTTTATATATAAACAAGTTGAGATGTTCAGGTGTCCTGAAGATAACCTGATGCAACTGCTGACACAAAGAGAGGTTAAAAGTGCCTTCTGGGGGCCAAGAGAATGGAAAGCAGGCCATTCAAATTCACAAAGAGTTTACCATAAGAAGAGATTTTCTGGCCAAATTCCAGAAAACGGGTTAAGTATATATTGCAGGATACAGAAAGCAGAAGCAGACTGACCCACTGACTCATATAACAAACACTAAATCAGTGACAAACAATATTAATGAAACAAAGAGAGAGACTAAGACACTCTGTAAATTGGCACCAGTAACTAATTTGACCCTATGGCTGAAAATTTCCAGACCAATGTCTTGATCTGCGAATGAATCCTGGAGATTCCAATGTTGCATCCAGCAACTCCAAAGATTCCCATGGGGCATCCCAACAATCTTTAACAATTACTGGCAGGCATTTGAATGGCTTGTTCCTAATTTAGCATCCAGGATTTTGGTTTCTCTTTGACACAGATTCCTCAGTGGTGGGGAACATCCCTCTGCAGGCACCCTGAGGAGTAATTGCAACAAGAGACACTTGGATCATATAAATTCTTAAATTGGAAACCTGAGTGATGCCCAAATTATGTGGCTTTGTGCATAATTCAGGAATCCAAGCAGCCTAATTCACGCATTTGGAATTTTATTAGGTGAGCTCAGCAACAACACACATATAGATTCTGTTTCAGAATCCCATGTAGTGCTGCTGAACGGGAAGGTTACAAAGCTGTTAAAACAAAAAGAACATCCTATTGGAAAGAGCTTAGTTAGAATCCTAAATTAATTTTTGGTTGACATCTTTATCCTACTTCTTGTTGAGCAGTTAATTTTTCTCTTATGGGTGTAGTACATTTGCTTTCCTCATATGATTGTACTCAAAGTAATTATTCCAAGTCTGGAGCAAATAGAGCACACTAATCAAATAAAGGGAACAAGATTGCATCAGTCATACCAAGCTACGACAATATCCTAGCAAATATTGGCAAATAAATTTATAAATAATTGCTTTTTTAATCTATACAACAGGCTCTCCACTTTGTGACTGAAAAACTGCCCTACTCCTCTTGGAGTTGTTGACAGGTGTGAAAACTCTACCATCTGGGGAAGAAAGAAATCTTTGCCTTGTGACTTGTGAAACTTCCTTTCACTTTCACACAACTGATTTCAACGGTTGTTCAGACTCCAGCCCCAGCAGAAATGTCGAGTGGGCCAGTAGTGGACAGCAGACACACCACAGACATCAAAGTAGTGAAATTCTCCTATCAGTGGACCATCAGTAACTTTAGCTTTTGCACAAAGCAAATAGGTAAATGCATTGAAAGTTCAACTTTTTCATCACAGCAAAATGATAAACTGAAATGGGGCTTACGACTGTACCCAAAAGGGATCGATGAAGAAAGCAAAGATTACCTTTCCCTATATCTCAAATTGATCCAAAGTCCAACGAGAGAACTGCTGGCAAAATTTAAATTTTACATTCTGAATGCCAATGGAGAGAAAACCAAAGAGAAGGCTAGTCACCAACCATATCGATTTGTGCAAGGCAGGTACTGGGGATTCAAACATTTCATTCTTAGGCATTTTATTTTCGATGCAACCACTGACCTTCTCCCTGATGACAGGCTTACTTTCTTTTGTGAGGTTAAAGTGGCACAATATTCCAGCAATATATCCTGCCAAAATACCATGAATACTCTGAAGGTTCCAGAGTGCTGTTTGGCAGAGGACCTAGGAAGTCTGTGGAAGAGTTCCTGGTTCACAGATTGTTGTGTGTGTGTGGCTGGCCAGGAATTCCAGGCTCACAAAACCATCTTAGCAGCTCGTTCTCAAGTTTTCTGTGCCATGTTTCAACATGAAATGCAAGAGAGCAAAACTAATCGAATAGAAATCAAGGATATGGAGCCTGAGGTTTTTAAGGAACTGATGTTCTTCATCTATACTGGAAAGGCACCAAACCTCAGTGCAATGGCACCTGATCTGCTGGCAGCTGCAGACAAGTATGGCCTACATCTCCTGAAGCTCCTGTGTGAGATCGACCTCTGCAAAAACTTTCCCAAAGAGAATGCGGTGGAAATCCTCATTTTTGCAGACCTCTATAGTGCATATCTGTTGAAAACCTTTGCAATGCATTTCATTAACTATCATATTTCAGACATCCGGGAGACCTCCAAGTGGAAGGCAATGGTTCAGTCACACCCTCGCTTGGTTGCTGAAGTGGATCGCTCTAGGACTTCCATGCAGTGTAATTGCATACACCCCAATGCAAGTGTCTGAGGCAGTATTAAGATGCCATCTCGCCCAAGGCTCCATGTATCTTCCCAAACCTGTGGCTTCATTTGCTAGCTCTTAACCCTGATTACGCCGGGCAATCTGCTGAACTTTCACCTGCTATGAAGAAACACTGAAGTATCCCTCTCTAGGGACAGATGGAACCCCCTCTTATGCTCATAAAAAGGGGGTAAGGCTTTTACATTTTAAGAGAAGTTTAATTTGGCAATGTCCTGAGAGTATAATTTATAGACCATCAGAAATATGTCTTTTATAATACCGTACCCACTGAATGTTTCTTTTTTTTTTTTTTATTTAAGAGGAAAAAGAGAAAAACACAAAACAAACCAAAGCGGCGTAAGGGTACACGCAATACAGAACTACAAAACAAAACAAAACAAAACAAAACAAAAAACCATAACAGTAAGAAATTACCTGCTAGTAGATTACACACTATTTTCTTGAAAATAGTTCCTCAAATCACAGTATCAAAGAACACAAGGTGGACATTCAAACAGGGAGACTGCAAACAGCTGTGTTCAATGTTCCAAAAACATTGATAAAGTCAGCTATTTAACACCCCCAAACACACTTGCTGTTATATCCGTTAGAGCTCTTTTTCTTTTTTTTTTCCCTCTGTTTTTTACAACAAAATTTACACATCTTGGATTTTATTACTCCTTAGTGCTTATTACTTTCTTTGGGGGGGTGGGAGAATACAGTCAAATATGGCAAAACAAAGCTGTCAGTCAATACCAAGGATAGACATAGCACATGGTGTAGAACAGAGTACAAGTTTATCAACAATGGTTATCAACGTTGTCCCTTGTTTGCTTAAAAAGAATTGTCTATCTCATTAGATATTATAAAGTTGGACAAAACAGTAGAGAACAAGACCAATAAAACTTAGGCGTTGTAAACATTACAGGACTTCCAAAGAAGACAATAGTCAAACCAGAATGGGTATCTTAGTGAATCTTATTGTCTTCAAAGTAGTTGCCTATGTCTTCAAACTTGATACTATCATATAGAATGGAACAGAGTCTAATCAGTCAAAACAAGATCGTGGGAGTACTACAGGACTTCAAAACAAGTTAATAGGAAATCGAAAAGAGTTACTATTCATATATCCTAATTTTTTTGAATTTTTTCTTTAATTAAGACAAACATAAGAAATGACTAAATAATTTTTTTTGAAACAATAAGGGGGAGATTGAGATAAAACAGGACGTAACAATATAACAATAGAGGTCACAGCATGACTGTTTCAACAACCTAGTACTTCACCACCTTATAACCTGACTTAATAGTAGTTACCATAGTGTCTTTTTCCTTGAAATATTTGGGTAAAACTTCATATACTCTAGCTTCAAATATTTTCATATCAAGAAGCCCAGAATAAAGCCTTTCTAATTAATGAGTGAAAACTTTATAAGGCTTCAAGGCCACCTAATGGGGAATCATGATTACCACATATTTTTATATATTTGAATCATTACTTACATTAGGGAAACTATTCGGTATTCACACATGCGAGATTGATTTATTTCACTTATGAGTATGGTCTCAAGCTGCGCCCATTTATTGATAAATATCTCAATGTGATCCTTCTTTATAGCTGAATAATACTCCATTGTATAGAAATACCACAACTTTTTTATCCATTCCTCAGTTGATGGGCACTTGGGTTGTTTCCAAGATCTGGCGATTACAAATTGTGCTGCTATAAACATAGGTGCACATATATCACTGTGGTATGATGCTTTCAGTTCTTCTGGGAATATGCCTAGAAGTGGAATAGCTGGAATAAATGGGATTTCCAGTCCCAACTTTTTGAGAAATCTCCAGACAGATCTCCACAAAGGCTGTACCAGTCTACACTCCCACCAGCAGTGCAGGAGAGTTCCTTTTTCCCCACAGCCTCTCCAGCATTTGTTGTCGGTTTTCTTGATCCTGGCCATTCTTTCAGGAGTGAGATGGTATCTCAGTGTGGTTTTAATTTGCATTTCTCTAATGACCAATGATGATGAGCATTTTTTCATGTATTTATTTGCCATTTGCATTTCTTCATCTGAGAATTGCATATTCATCTCAGATGCCCATTTTTGGATTGGATCTTTGAATTTCGGAGGTCTGAGTTTCTTTAATTCTTTGTATGTTTTAGACAAGAGGCCCTTGTCTGAGAGAGAGTTCACTAAAATCTTTTCCCAGTTTGTGGGTTTTCTTTTCACTATGCTGGAGATTTCTTTTGACATGCAGAAACTTTTTAATGAGAAGTGGTCCCAGTTATTGATTCTGGGAAGTATTTCCCGTGCGGTTTGAGTCCTGTTCATGAATTCTTTACCTACTCCTATGTCTCCAAGGTTTCTACCTATTTTGTCTTCCAATAGATTTAGTGTTTCTGTTTTAATATTCAGATCTTTGACCCATTTAGATTTTAATTTAGTACATGGTGATAGACATGGGTCTAGCTTTAGTTTTCGGCAAATGGAGAGCCAGTTTTTCCAGCACCATTTATTAAAGAGACTGTCGTTCTTCCAGTGAACCTGCTTGGCTCCTTTATCAAAAATAAGGTGGTTGAGTGTGTTCGTAGTTGTGGTTGTATCTTCTAATCTATTCCACTGATCTTCAGCTCTGTTTTGATTCCAATGCCATGTTGATTTTACTACTGTTGCTTTGTAGTATAACTTCAAGTCAGGGATTGTGATGCCTCCTGCTTTGTCTTTGCTGCTTAGAATTGCCTTTGTGATTCTAGGTCTCTTCTGGTTCCAGATGAAATTTAGGAGTGATTTCTCTAGATCTATATGGTATGTTGATGGTATTTCTATTGGGATTGCATTGAATCTGTATAACAGTTTTGGGAGAATGGCCATTTTCACAATGTTTGTTCTTCCTATCCATGAGCAAGGGATGTCTTTCCATTTTCTGAGATCATCTTCAATTTCCTTTTTCAGTGTATTATAATTTTCACTGTATAAGTCTTTCACTTCTTTCGTAAGAGTAATTCCTAAATATTTCATTTTTTTGCTTGCTAATGTGAATAGTCCAGTTTCTCTTATTTCCCTCTCTGTAATTTTGTTGTTCGTGTATAGGAATGCTATTGATTTCTGAGTATTGATTTTGTATCCAGCCACATTACTGAATTTATTTATTGTATCTAAGAGTATTTCAATGGAGTTTAGGGGGTCTTCTATGTAGAGTATCATGTCATCTGCAAACAATGATAATTTAACTTCTTCTTTTCCTATCTTTACCCCTTTTATTTCTCTTTCTTGCCTAATTGCTCTGGCTAGTACTTCCAGTACTATATTAAATAGGAGTGGTGATAAAGGACATCCTTGTCTTGTACCCGATTTTAAAGTAAAGGCTTTCAATTTTTGGCCATTTAGGATGATGCTGGCTGTTGGTTTGTCATAAATGGCCTTTATTATATTGAGGTAAAGACCATTTATTCCAATTTTCTGTAAAGTTCTTATCATGAATAAGTGTTGGACCTTATCGAAGGCTTTTTCTGCATCTATAGAGATGATCATGTGATTCTTATTTTTGGCTTTATTGATATGGTGGATTACATTTATTGATTTGCGTATGTTGAACCATCCTTGCATTCCTGGGATGAATCCCACCTGGTCATGGTGTATAATCTTCTTGATGATTTGCTGGATCCTATTTGCCAATATTTTATTGAGGATTTTTGCATCTGTGTTCATTAGGGAGATCGGTCTATAGTTCTCTCCCACTGAATGTTTCAATGCTGAATTCAAATTAACACCAAAACACCTAGCAGGGAGATATACAAACATATGGAATGAAGCTGCACTCAGGGAAGGGATCAGAGATACACTCAGAATCAGCTACCACTGGGCCCTCACTGCTCAAAGTGGCTTTTATCTTTTTCTCTTTTTTCCTAAATAAAATTTCATCTTAGTTTGCACAATTGTTTGACTCCTTGCCCTTTTTCTACATCAGATATTCAAAAGCCTGAGTAGTTTTGGAGGTGGGCTTATGACTCCTATGCCACCCAGGGTTAGAGCACCGTAGGTTTATAATGGCACTAAGCAATTTTTGGGATGGGAGTAAAGAAGACCCAGAACTTGGTCATTTTGACATTAGGAAAACACAGTGATGAATCCCTTTGCTCACTGGCCTAGAGCTGGCCTGCCTTTTAGGCACTAGTCTCTACAGCCCAGCAGGGGTAGTGTAAAATACTCTGTCTTAGATGCAGCACAGTAATCATGAAGCTCCTGGAGCAAGAAATAGGGAAAAATGTTCAGATTTAATAAAATGAAAAACAAAGGTGGAAAACGCAGAATCAATGTGTGTATTCCAGGGGATTTCATGTTGAGGGAATCAAATCTCCATCCTTACAACGGTGGTAAAACATGCATATTTGCAAAGATGCTTCATCGCTTTACAGGTCTCAAAAAAATCTCGCTCACTGCTTGCACTTACTGTTTGTAAGAACACAAGACACCATAAAATCCTCTCCTGAAAGTTAGGAGTAGAGGAAAAAAGAGGCAGGAGGAGATTGCATTGCAAAGGCTTCACTTCCAAAAATCACTCTTGGTGTTCGTTTGGAGCCACTCAGACACTTTCAAAGATAAGAGGCATCTAAGAGCACCAAGGATATGAATTCACTTGTCCAGACCAAGTGCACAGTGGGATATAGTTATTTAATTCTGACTTAGCACAAGTGAACACTCATTGCTTGGTTATGGCACTGTGTAAGAATGAAAATATGAAAAAAACACCTGTGTAGGAATTATACAGTAAAAATGCAGGAGGTTTTAACTATCTTTAATGATTTTTGTTTATGCTTTTGTTATTGTAGGACAGGGTTTTGCAGTACCAAGGGCTTGCCAGGCAAGCTTTTGTGCAGCTGAACTAAATTACTGGCTGTTGCCAAGCTTTTACCTACATGTTTCTCTGATCTTTGCAACCTCACTCATGAAAATCTCTGTACAGCCACTCAAGCAGCTTGAAAGTTTTTAAAATGAAAAAATACTTCACTCAGAGTTCATATATCTTGAAAGGAACTATAGTTTTACGTATTGTGGGGAAAAAGTGTTATGTTATTTTCCCCCTTTAGGTTTT